ACAGAGCACAACAGAGCCAAACGACCCAAACCCACTGCGGTCGAGTTGATTCTGCCTCATGGCGACCCTATGTAGGGCAGGGGGAGCTGCTCCGCTGGGTTTCTGAGGCTGTAACTCTTGAAGGGGGCAGAAAGCCTCATCTTCTTCCTGCAGAGCTGCAGGTGGTGTCGAACTGCCGATTGTGCAGTCAGCAGCCCAACACATAAGCCCTACGCACCAAACCCAAACTCACTGTCATCCATCTGATTCTGACTCAGAGCAACCCTCCAGAACAGGGTAGAACTGCCCTGTGGGTCTCCCAGACTGTAACCCTTTCCAGTAGAAAGCCTCATCTTTCTGTCAGGCAGGCTGATGAACTGCCCTGTGGATCTCCCAGACTGTAACCCTTTCCAGTAGAAAGCCTCATCTTTCTGTCAGGCAGGCTGATGAACTGCCCTGTGGATCTCCCAGACTGCAACCCTTTCCAGTAGAAAGCCTCAGCTTTCTGTCAGGCAGGCTGATGGTTTCAAAAGCTGACCTTGCTGTTAGCAGCCCAACGCGTAACCACTGTGCCACCAGGGCTCCTAACATTCAAAAGGCTGCTGCAGAAAGCCTGGGCACCCCTGCGTTAATCCTGGCACACGGCGCCCCCATGTGTGTCAGAGGAAGACCCTCGGTCAACAGGCCTGGTGACCAGGAACTAACACAGGCTGAAGGCGAAGCAGAAAGGTGCCAGCAGGCCAAGTTCACACTCCACAGGCACAGCTCGTTTTCTGCAAAAGCCCAAGTCCCCACATGGGCTGCACTGCTGAGGCTGTCTGACGTTACGATACAGAGCTGGTCTTTGGCTGCCTACGAATTGACACTCAATGAGCAGCACATCGGAGGGAAGGAGGGAGGGAGGCCAGTGTTAGACAGGATGAACCTCTCTGGTCAAAACAGCATTCTCAGTTGAGTTCTGAAGTCGCTTCTGGGACAAGGGCCATTCTCGAGGAGACAGCATGACACGGGGTCTTACTCACCATGGCATCTTTCACGATCTGTTTGGCCACCTGCTCCGGTGAGCAGACCGATGTAGTCCCCGAAATCAGTTTCGTCTCCAAGGGCTGCAAGAGCGGCAGATGCACATAGCAACCCCGTTACCGCCTGTGACACAAAACTCCCAGCATTCTTACAGCCCCAATTCACTGCTAACCTTCCTCCATTGCACAGTTCCCGGCCCATTTGGAATCAAGTCCATCTGGATTCACACTGGCATCTACCAGGCCACTGTGTGGCAAATTCCACCCAAGAAGCTCAAGTGGCATGAGGAGACCACTGCCATTCCCGGCGGGGCCTATGCGCTCGGTTCCAAGGAGCCCCATGCACCGAGAACTCAACCCTGGATATAGCACACCCCTCTGAGACCCCTCACCGCTGGCCAGACCACTGGCCACTGGTGTTTGTGCACAGCCTGGGCCACCTAGCCCAGTGAGCATGTGCAGGTGTGCCTACCACACCTGTTCCCACCTCCTCACTCACAGGGCAGCAAGCACCACTGCCTGCAGGCCACATCCCTTCCCACCAACATCAGCTGTTCCTTAGGGACCTGCGGGGGGATAGTTGGCTGAAAGAGGAGGGTGGTCAGAGGCCCCTTGCTCCACTGTGTGCGAATCCCAGGGAGGTACAAATGGTTCTCGCATTCGGCTCCTAGTCCAAAGGCCCTGCAGAGGGGCCATGGAATAAAGGCCAAAATCTCTGCTTCCGAAAGGTCATCCATCAACCTCACAGGAGGCAGAGCTGACTGGGTGGCTGACTGTTCCCTTGGTCAGCGGGGCCGTGTTTTGGCAACGGGGCTGATGCTTCAGGACCCTGACTCTTGGCCTTTTGTTCTTCAAAGGATGGTCAAAGGTCCACCTCAATTGTCACCTCGCACACAAAGCCTGGCTTGAAAGCTTCGTGGAAGTCCTCTCTACCTGAGCCCGCCTGGGGGGAGTTTAAGTGTGTCTGCCGGACTGACAGCTACTCCTGTGTTCGCATTTCACCAGCCATTCCTCCTGGGGGCCTCGTCTTGTTCTCCTGTATCTCCCACCCCTCTAGGTGGTGTCTCAGAATTCCTTATGCGGGAGTTGGGGGGGGGGGATTACAGGTGTCAAAACTACAGCCTTTAACAGCGCAAGGCTGCAAACTGCCATTCAGAGGTGGGCTGAAACATTACACAAAACAAATGCCCAAACACGCGTGTCCTTGAACTAGAAAGGTCAAGCCCTTCCCGGGAGGCGACTGTCTCTTGATGAAGTGGAGTTAGGAAAAAAGCCTAGGGGAGGTGGTGTCCCCTCGGTCCTCCCAGCTACCAGGTGGCACTGTCAACTGGGACAGCCACATGGGTGATGTCAACGCACCCCTACAGGCCAACTAGCAAGTGAAGCATTTCACCCAGCTGAAGACGCCTGCCCAACACGGGACTGAGGGAAAGAAGAAAAAGCCCAATAGAATCAACATCGAAATCAGGAGTGGGGGCCATTAGGATATCTATAACACCATTTGTGGGCCATGTGGTCAAACAGTGAAAACACAGACAGACGGACACACACACACACACACACACACACACACACACACACGCCACATCCCCATCATGACTGTCACTGCTTCTCTTTGGTGAGGCATGTGACATGAGATGGTATTGATGATTTCTCAGGCCTGATTGAAAGCTCCCCACCCCTGAGTGAAATGAAATCGGGGCAACCGCCAGCCTGTCTGTTCCTGCTAGGGACTAAAGGGCCGCGGGCCGATAGAGACAGCGAGTAGAATATGGGCTCCTGGGAGGGCATGGAGGCGGGAATAGGAAGCGGGGAGCTGATAGCAGGAAGTTCAAAAGGAAGAAAATATTCTGAAACTGGTTGTGGTACAGTTGTACAATACCGCTTGTAGTGACTGAGCTGTGGAACGATAGGGTATCTGTGTTTTGAAAAAAACAAAAAACCTGCAGACCAAATACTATATAAATCGGTTTTGTCAAATGCTGCTTATTCCGAGACAGGCATTCAGCTTAAGTTTACTTCTTGGGAATAGTAGTCATTTTAAAACAGGCAGAGGCAAAGAGAAAAGAAATATTGGGGGGTAGGGACTTCGGGATGATAAACGTCTCTCTACAAATGTCCCCACCGTGGGGGTGAAGTGCCACGTTCCACGCGCAGGAGAGTTACCCGGAGGTGACAAACTGACATGAAGCTCGGCTGGCTGGGGTGAGGGTTCCAACTGATCTCCTCCTTCCCCACCTCATTTAGGGCCGCTCTGCATCGGGGGCCACCCTGGGCCACTCCGGGGAACAACTCTCGAAGCGGGCGCTGTGTTTTATATGTATGTGTCATCCAAGCCACGGAAGAAAGGCCTGGTGGTTTGCTTTCCTAGAGGCAGAGCCAATGCTACTTCGGTGCAGCAGCGTCAAAAGGGCCTCTCCAGGCTGACAGCTGAACGGAGAGTCAAGCCAAGTGCATGACCCGAGGAGCCGTGGGTGAGGAGGCCCGGAAGCTCCGTGAACAGAGAGGGATCCTGTGTGGCCGCACAAGGGGCAGAAATGTTGTGGGCAAGGTGGCTAAGGTCCAGCTTTAGGGGGGTAGGGCCATGTTTGTGCAACAAAGCCACCAGACCACACTCCAACACCAGCCACTACCAACAGATGCTCCCTTACTGTGATCCTAAATGAGGGGAAATGAAATAAAATACAGAGGGTGGTTTCTCCATCCCACTAACCACATTCCAAGCGAGGGGCTGCAGCCACCTAAGGGCAGCCGTGTTGGACAGGGCATCTTCAAGGTGGTAGAAGGTTTGGCTAGCCATCTCTGCACGAGGGCCTGAACCAGGGGACGACGAGACCCGATGGGCGTTTCACAAGGACCACTGGCTACTGCAGAGAACAGAAGCAGCCACGCCAGTGAGCAAGCTATCAGAGTAGCTCAGGTGGAGCAGGAACGCAGGTGCCCGGCTACCACTGCAGACCCCTGCGAATGTCCTGGACAGAGTGGGAGAAAAAGTAGAAAAGCCTAAATCTTGAAAAAACAAGACAGACTTACTGGTCTGATAGAGAATGGTACAACCCTCATGACTGTGGCCCTTAGATACTCTTCGGACCACCATGCAGCAACGTAGCAGAAAGGCCCACAGCAGGTATAAGGAACTACTGTCAGAAACGCCGACTCTGTGAGGGGAAAGGCAGCACTGACCAAAAGCAAAGCTTGGCGGGCAGAAAGGGCAGGAGAGATGGCCCACGGAGGCAGGGAGCCCAGAGTCGAAGTGGGGAGCGGGGACTTCGACCAGTGTCCTGAAACAGCATGTGCTTATGTTGCTGAAGGGGAAACCAATGTGCTGTAAACTCTGGCTCAAACCACAACGTGTTCCCCAAAAGTAATGTACATAGAAAGTAGCTCAGGCCTCAAACGAAAAAGGCTACCCCTAATTACTAGGGCAGATGTGATAGATGCGCCGTAAAAAGCGGTCTGATTCGGGATTCTGTCCTGAGAACACTGCAGAGGATTTGCGGGTCCCTTGGAAGCAGGGGGTGAGGGGAGGCTTACTTCAAGGTTCCCAGCCGGGAGAATGGGGTGAATGGCGGGTGCTGGGCAGTCAGATGGAATGTGACAAGACGTCGGAAGCGAGGGGGGACCCATCGGTCCGCTTTGGAAAGGTTGAGTCCCAGCTGCCTGTCATGGGCTGAATTGTACCCATCAAAAATGTGCTGTGAATCCTATCCTTCCTGCCTGTGGAGCCCTGGTGGTGTGACCAGGTAGGTGATGGGCTGCTAACTGCAGAGTCAGTGGTTGAAACCTGCCAGGTGCTCCAAAGGAGAAAGTTAAGGCTATCTGTTGCCATGTACAGGTGTACACCTTCGGAAACTGCAACGTCACGAACTGGCTGATAAGTTTCTTTTTTACTCACCCTAAATGACTCCTTTTTCTGATGGGTCTAGCTAAGAAAGTGGGGGAAGATACTGAGTGGATGATGTTGTGATTCAGCTGTGAGTGACTACCATCCTGCTGGGTATAAAATAAACCATCTCAGAAACAGGATGGTGGAATCTCACGTCCCTTGGACCCCGAGACTCCTGCACAGTGAACTTCCTTGATGTAGGAGACAGCTTTGACGCCAGACGAAGGACAGGAGGTGCAGCAGCAGAACCAGGAGCTGGAGCATGAGACAGCCGTGAACTTCCCAGTCCTCAGAGCAAGTAAAGCTGAGGCTTTGGGGCACAGGTCTGGCTTCCTGCAGGGGCCACCTCTGGGCCTTAATTCAGGGAGCTGAGCTTGCTGACTCAGAGATGGAGCTGAATGCCTTTGGGTTGAACCTTGCAGCAGAGTGGTATGCCCTTTGGATATCTATTGGCAGCCCTAAAAGAACTCTGTAACCCTGCCCTAGCAGGGCAGAGGCCAGGCCAGGAGGCTGAGGGACAGAGAGGGGTCTGTGTGTGGGTACTGCCGAGATGACACTGTCCTGACTGAACACTCGTGAGCTGAGCAGTTCTCATTGGTTTGAAACCTTTTAAAGTCCTAATAAATCCCATACTCATGAGCAATGTGAATTGTGTGTGGCCACTGCAATGAATGATCGAAATGGGCTGCAAAGGGGAGAGAAGTGTGGTGGGTGAAGTAGGGAACCTGCATAGGGTCAGTGTGAGGGCCATCCGCTGGAGGGCAATGGTTCTGCTGCTAACTGCACTTGTGGTCATGCACCCAGGAGAATGGTAATTTTATGTTAATGAGACATGAGGCACGTAAGCTGTGTCTAAATTAATCTCTTTCCGGACAGAAGGGATCTAACAGGCGGGCAGTCTTTACAGTGAAAGGGCAGGGGTGGGCAAAGAGAAATGCCACACCCAGGGGTAGGGCCTCGGAAGAAACAAGGACATCCTCCAGACCCTACAGAGGACGCCTTTCCCTTGCGCCTGCGCCCTGACTTCAGACTTCGGCCTCCTCACCGCTGAGAACACATATAGGCTACAGCCAGCAGCCTGTGGTCCCACTGCAGTGGCAACACTAGACGACTCTGTGCCCTTCGGCCAGCGCACTGACCCACCCAGTCGGCAATCAGCTGTTTAAATTCAGAATGCAAGGTCAGCAGTGTGAACACCAGCCGTGCCTCAGGAGAAACATGGGGCTCTCTACACCCATGAAGAGTTAGTCTAGGAAACCCACAGTCGCTGTTAAGTCAGCCTCGACTCGATGGCAGTGAGGGTTTTTTTTGAGTTTTTAAGATCATTTCATTAATTAAAAATACAGGCTGTAGTCTGCATGTGAAAAATATTTTATTCGTGAAATAAATCTTTGAAGATTATTAGCAAAACCAGGGCCTTGGGAAATGATGGCTGCATTCTCCGGGAATCCACATGAACGTGAGCGAGACCCCTAGTTAGCCCAGAAACTGAGAGGAAGTCAATTTTCTGATTGAACCATAATCTCAATGTCACATTGACAATGTGTGGGGTCATGGTGGTGACGGCCTGTGACGGACATCTGGTAACTGTCGTCACAGCTGACAGCTGACAGCTCCCGGTGGGGCAGCTGGGAGGTGGAGAGGAAGCCGAGCGGGCTGTGGCTGTGTTCTGGCCTCCCAAGACAGAGGGCAGCCGCCACAGGGTCCCAGGCTGCCATCTCCAGGGGCAAGTCGCCGGGTCTTTTCTCCCATGGGTTCAAACCACTAACCTTTCAGGCACCTGCTGAGCACCAAGGACGCTTGCTCCCGGGGAACTGATTGTGACTCGGAGTGACCTTGTTGGAGAGCGCGGGACTGCCCTTGGGGGCTTCCTAGGCAGAAGTCTCGGCGGAAGAAGCCTCCAGATCTTTTCTCGACAGAGAGGCTGGTGGGCTGGAACCTCAGACCTTCAGAAAGCAGGCTAATACTTAACCCACTGCCCCACCAGTGCTCCTTGACCAAGGCTGAGTACTCACTAGCTCTAGAAGAGCACTTCCGCTCCAGCAGGCACATGGCAAGCAGGGGCCTCCTCCCAGACCCTCTCCCTTAGTCACCACCACTCCCCCCTCCCAACACACACACACACACACACACCCCTTAAACAACATATCCGAAGTGCTGGGGTTCCCTGTGGAAAATACCTTCCATGCTTCTACTCGTGGGGGTCAGGTGCACGTGCTTCCATCCGGAACCACCTTCCCATCTGCACACCAAGCCCCAGGCCCCTCACGCTCCACGCACGCATGGCAGTGTGCCACCACCCAGACTTGCCAAAGGACCCTGCAGGACAGAACTGCCCCATGAGTTTCCTAGGCTGTAACTCTTCACAGGACTAGAAAGCCTCATCTTTCTCCCGTGGAATGGCTGGTGGTTTCAAACTGCTGGCCTTAGGGTTAGCAACCCAACGCCACCAGAACTCCTGTGTGTCTGGGTTTCACCTCTTTTTCCACCTTTAGCAAAGTGCACTCTTTCTCCCTTCCTTTCTATCACTCCTCTTAGGGGAAAACATTAACAGTTTCTTTCTCTGACAGGTTCCAACTCATATAGGTTTTACCACAAGTTAGCACTTTCTAGACCTGAAGTTCATGCGTTGACTAAAAGGGTGCATTTGAATACCTAGCATATTAAGTGAAAGGACTCACCTCATATATTACACAAAGATAAGGTGGAATACACGCTGAGAGGGAGAGAGGGGGAGAGAAGGGCCCTACCTCCCCAGAGGACTGAGACGCATTAAGGCAGCAGGCAGGCAGGTTTCGCATGTCTTCCTCTGCCTCTGGAGCCCTCCTTAGGACGCGCTGAAGGCCACCCCAGCCACTGGGTCCACCGCTGCCTCACAGCAAGCCCACACGTCAGAGCATAGCCGAGCTCTAATGGCTTGTCAATAGATGGCTTTGTGGAAGCAGATCTCCAGGCACCTCTGGGCAGACGCAAACCTTCAACCTTCCAGTTAGGAGCCCAACGCGTGAACCATTTGCACCTCCCTGGGGTTCCTCAACAGCCAAGCAAGGGACCGCTTACCACTTTCTCACACGCGGCTCCTCTTTCAGCCTCCTGTCCCCCTGCAGTTGGGCAGAAGCTCAGTGGCTTTACCCGCTCAGAGACCTCAGCTCTGTCCACAGGAAGTGACTCTCTGCTGCCCTGTGAGGTGTTTGGGTGGCTGTGGTGGTCACAGGCACACACCTGCCAGGCCCTGTTGTGTGGTCCCGGATCTGCACAGACACCACTGTTGGGTGGTCTGGCCAGGGGGAAGGCTGCAAGGAGGGGAGTGGGGACTTGTATCCAGGGCTGGTAGCCTCGGTGGATGGTGCTCGTTGGAACCGCGACCGCAAGTCTGGCGGAGGGTCAGCAGTCTCCTTGTCCCAGTGGAGCTTCCTGGTGGGAATTTCTTCTAAGGCGCCTGACTGGAATCTCCAGCCTTGAAATGCTAAGCACCACCCATCTGCATCACCCAGGGAGGAAAGAGCAGGTTAACCAACAAGAGGCAGATAAGGGCGTCTGCAGCAGGATGGCGAAGAGAAGAGCCACGTGCCCAGCTGGCAGCAGGGCTAGGCCGGGTGGAAAAGCGGAGGGGCCAGGAGCATGCCTTCCAGGAAGAAGAGTGAATCTAACAGAACACCGGACAGGCTAGGACAGATCACATGAAGTTTCAGTCCCATCTGCATGTGGGAATGAATGAGTTATAGACGCGACTAAGCAAATGAGAAGGCAGGAAGGAAAAAGTCATTACAGTACACCGCATGGCTCCGCCACGAATAGTAGTTTTGAAATTATATTAACAAACATGGACTCTGGTTTAACCGAAAATACAGGAGAGTATGTGGAGAGTTGGGAATCAGTGTGGGCCTGACGTCTTGCCTCCCATTGGAGGTCAAAAAATAACTTGTAAATCTTATTTTTTAAAAACCATGACAACAACAACAAAAACCCCAACATGTGAGTTGGAAGTGGGATTTAAACACCAGAAGGAAGAACTAAGGAGACAAATGGCTGGCTCTGGGAGCAGGACTAGGGGGCGGACGGAGGGAGACAGAGACCCTGGACTCGCATAACCATGTCATGCTTTGTGGCTGTTGTCCACAGAGACTTCTAATGTGGTCTAGCACTTGGATAAAAAGTCAATAGGAATGTAAAGTTCTAAGGAAATTGTAAGGAAAGAGGTTGGCGGAGGGAGGGAGAGCAAGAGAGAGGTGAGGCAGGAGAAGGAGGGAAGGGAAGGGAGCAGATGGAGGAAGATGGGTCTGGAGACCCTCAGATACCAGCAACACTGCTGACTGGCTAAGACGGCATCAAGGTTGACGGGAAACGGCCGCGACTGGGGAACAGAAATGATGATGTGAAGGCTGGACAGGTGGCAGAAGGGGCTCACCTTTGTTTTGTTCTCTTCCACAAAACCGGGAGTGTCTGTGTCCGGTGGGTAGGCCACGGTCACGTAGACGTTGTATGGCTTCACCTGCATTTAGAAACAGCAGGAGCACCATGAGGCTACAGATCCCAACTGGCTGGGCCACCAGGTGGGCTTTGTGAACCCTGCCCATGGGGCTCTGCACTGAGCTGGGGAACGAATGCCAAACCACAGAGACCCTCTAAATAAAGGCCTGTCCTCCAGGAGAAGCCGGCGTCACAGCGAGGAGGGTGGTCGGGTGGCAGAGTCCTGGCCTCTCATGAGGGGGACCCAGGTTCCGTCCACCTGTCCTTCAGTGGAGGGGTCTGTGTTGTTATGAGGCCCAACAAGGCTCCCTGGTGGTGCTGTGGGTAAGCACTGGGCTGCTCATCACAAGGCACACAGTTCGAACCCATCAGCTGCTCCCTGGGAGAAAGATGAGGCTTTCTGCTTCCGTAGATTTACAGCCTTAGAAACCCGCAGGGGATGGTTCCACCCTGTCTTCCGGGGTTCTAGGCGCTGCGACTCCACAGCCACGGGGCTGGGGCTTCATGAGGGTGAACAGGATTCCGAGGAGCTTCCACTCCGAGCTGGCTAAGATGAAAGGCCTGGGGACCCACTCAGCGCATGAAAGCCCCAAGGATCTCCCGAGGACCACCAGGGAGGCAATGGACCAGGCAGCATTTGCTTCCATTGTGAGCGGTGGTGAACAAGACAGATGTGGCACCTCCCAGGTGTCCTCTTCCAACACTGCCAGGCAGAGGGCGTGGGAGCCACCCGAGGAAGACAGCACAGAGCTCAAAGACAGACTTGTGCTCCTCTTCGCTATACACCAGCCCGGCCCGCAGAGTCGTCTTCAAGGCGACGGACAGGCCTACTCCAGTTCCCATCCCTGTCTCGCTCCGCAGGTCCCACGTGGAATGGTACCCACCCTGAGAGGTCGGGTTACTCAGGAACCCCATCTACATCCGGTCACTGCCCGGGAGAGCTCAGAACCCACTTGGTTCTCCAGAGGAACCTTGAACAGCCACTGAGAAGAGCCAGGTCCCCCACAGAAGACCGCCCACCTGTTTCCCATATTCCCTTTCCCCTCTCCCTCTCCCCCTGGGACCAGCTCTTCTGCTCACATCACCACCAGGATCTACTCTCGGGCACATCCCACTGGCCTTGCCTTGTCCTCTCGGGGATGGGTCAGCCCTGCAGAAGGATACTGCCCCTGCCCTCTGCCCGCCGGGCTCTCAGAGAGGCTGAATCTCTGCCCCTGGGCTTTGCAGCTGATCACTTCTCAGTCCCCAGGGGAGATTGGAGAGGCGCTGGGAGACCCGCTGGTAGGAAGGGGGGGGAGGGCCAGGTAGGAACATGGTCGTTCTCCAGTCTAAGTGACAACAGTCCCACATCTTTAAATGGGCCCTGGGAGCGCAATGGTTAAGCGAGGTCAGCTGTTCAAACCCACTAATGCAGTGGAGGAGAGAAGAGCCTGTCTGCTTCTGCAACGATTCACAGCCTGGGAAACGTGCTGGGGCAGCTCAACCCTGTCCTATGGTGCCAACAGGGGTTGGAATGAACTGGACAGCGAAGGAGTTTTCCTTCTTGTGGTATCCCTCCCACGACCCCGCAAGAGTGCTCTAGGTACAGCCTGGCAGCCGGTGGAAGGAGCTGAAGAGGCGCGCAGGCAGGGGCCCCTGCCCAGCACTCAGGATCATGCAGGGGCAGGAGGGAGGCGGCTGTGTTGGCTCGGCTCATCACAAATCCACGTGGACAGGGCGTGTCGCTTCAAGGCCCAGCTACGCCCACGGAGAGTGGGATGGGCGCCAAGCAGTGAGCTGCGTGTGTGGGCGCTTAACGGCTTGGGAACCAGTCTCCCCCACCAACCCTCTGCTGCACATCGCTGAGAGGACACCACCACAGAAACTCCGCCGAGCAGCCGTGGGCCGCCTCTGTGGGAAGCCCAGCCCAGCCCGTCGGTGCTTCCCTGGGCAGCGGCCCTTGCTACCCCCAGTAAGGGCCGGGGGTGACGGTGCTGGTCTAAGGCAGCATTGCTTCAACTCGAGGTTATGGCTGAGTTCCCAAAGGGTTAAAACAGAGCCCATACAGACTGTCTGTCTTGGCAGAGTCCCGAAGAGCAGCTGCCGGCCTCTCCTGAGAATCTGGCATCCCCTCTTATAATTGTCAGGCCAGGTCATTCTCCTGGGGCATGAGTGTCTCCGTGGGCTAGTCCCTCCACCCCTGACTCCGTCCACTCATTCATCCAGTGCACATGTGCTGAGTCACAGTTCTGTGTCCAAGCCATCCAGGGAATGAAGCGTCCGGGTGGGAACAAATCAGGTAGCACCCCTGCCACCATGAAGCTCACAGTATCCCCAGGTTCCTGCTAAAACTGGAATTCGCTAAACTCTATCTACGGCTTTCTTTACTCTATCCATTTCATCGCCCGCAACTCCCGGTGACCCCACGTGTCTAAGGAGCAGAACTGCTCTACGGGGTTTTCCTCTTCATGGAAGCAGCTCACAGGGCCTTCTCCTCCAAATGCTGGAGCCCTACTGGGTTACATGTTAGGCTGCTAACCACAAGGTCAGCAGTTCAAAACCACCAGCTGCTCCTCACAAGGCGTTGTCCTCCCGTAAAGAGTTCTAGTCTGGGAAACCCAAAGCGGCAGCTCTACCCAGTCCTGCAGGCTCACTGTGAGTCGGCAGACAGCAGGGAGTGTGGCTTGGGAGCTTTCTCCTCCACAGCCATTGAGTGGTTTCCATATGCCAACCTTCGAGCTTACAACCGGACGTGCAGGTGAGGCTGGTCTGGTGAGATGGTGCTCTTACTAGGGATGCACTGGCCAGTTCTTCCCAAGCTGGTCTCCCTGCCCTCCTCCCACCTTCTGTCTGCTTCTCCTTGTCCAGCAGAGCAATGGTCAAGCTCTGTCCTTTCTCTGCCCTCACACAGGCCGGGATCATCTCCTCCCTACACCTGGGCTTCAGCTTCACCCAGAAAGATGGCCACTCAGCGAAGCACATCTTGGTTATCCAACTAATCCTGCCTGAGAAGCGCTGACTTCATTCCAATGATGCGAAGACCAGGCTGGGGAGAGGGTGCAGCGGTGCACACCTTTCGACCAGGTGCGAACAGGCTTAGAGTGAGGAGCCAGGAGATGGCTGGGATGAGAAAAACAAACGGGAAGCCATTAAATGTCGCTCGGTCTCTGCTGCCCCACCTCTGGCTCCAGCCCACCTGGGAGGCCCACCTTCCAAAGAGACGGGCTTTTAAAAACCTTTTGAAAGACTTGTTTATACCTAAAAGAACCAGATAGGGGGGAAAGAAAAGACTGCCAGGGAGTATTCCTTCAGAATGACTCACACATACAACATTTCCAGGGCCTTGCCTTAGTTTGGGGGTGAGGAGGGGATCAGGGAGACTTAAAAGTTAATTAAACCAGAGGATTACCCAAAACACTTAGTGCTCGAGCTGTTCTAGAAGGTTCCATTCACAGAAGACACATGCACCTGGCAAACAGATTCTGAATGGTCCAGGTTTCCAAACACAACCCGGCAGACTTGGAGGGAGATGGGTGTCTGGGCACAATTTCAACTGTGAACAAAACAAGTGTTGTTCTAACAAGATTTTGAGGATAGAATTACTTCCTCTAAAGCCTCTTTTTCGAAGGACGTGCTGTTTGGTTAACGCCTGCTTGTTGAGTGCGGATGCTGTTGCTGTTGTGTTATCAGAGAGCCAATGCCAGCCCACAGTGCCCCCATGGGGCCTGTCTTCAGGAGAATCTTTAATCAAGCAAATCTTTCTGCCCAGAGCCTTGGGTGGGTGCGTCAGCCAGTCTTTCCGTGAACAGCAGAGCGCTTCCCTGCCATGCCACAGGGCTCCTTGAGGGTACTTCTAAAAAACTCACCAAGTGCACTGCCACTGAGTCAGTTAGACTCACAGCAACCCTACAGCACAGGGTCGAACTGCTCCTGTGGGCTTCCGAGACTGTAACTCTACAAGAATTGAAAGCCTCAACTTTCTCTGGCAGGGCGGCTGGTGGTTTCTAACCGCCAACCTTGAGGTGAGCAACCCAACACCTAGCCCACTATACACCACCAGGGTGTCTAAACAGGGATAGGAGCCCTGGTGGCGTAGTGGCTAAGTGCTCGGCCACTCACGGGAAGGTTGGCAGTTTAAGTCCTGTAGCCGCTCCCTGTAAGATAGATGACTCCCAAAGGTGACAGCCTGGGAGACCCTCTGAGGCAGCTCTACTCTGTCCCACAGGATCACTCTGAGTTGATATTGACTTGACAGCAACAGACATCTGGACGGGATTCAAGAAAACCTGAAATACGAGGCCAGCTCCATGCCAGCTCCCAGTCCTGGACACTCGCCTACCTTACCCTCCCATTCGTTAACATCTCCACCTGGCACGTGGGGGACACCAGCCTCCAGCTGCCCTGAACCTGCAATGCTGCCGTCACCCTGCCAAATGCCCCAGAACTGACAGTTCACCCCAAAGTCCCCACGGGACCTACATGATCTCTGAGACCAAAGTAAAGTGAGGGAGGCAAGGGGCCAGGCAAGCTCCTGACCTGAATGGCAGGGGCAGTGGCCACAGGCTGCCAGAAAGTCAGGTAAGAGGGGGTGGGCTGGGGGGGAGAGGGCAGGGGCAGGGGCTTTATTATTGGGTGACAACCCTACCTGGTGTTCTTGTTTCAGCGGTGACTGTTGCTGCAGCTATCCAAACCTTGCTGCCTAGCGCATAGCACGTTAGGCAAGCGGGTGCAGTGGACATCAAGGGCTGGCCCCACTGGAATGAGGACAGTGAGTCTGTCACTCCTGAGGGACTGCAATGACACAGCAGCACCCTGCCACCCACAGCAACATGAGGTGGCGTGGTACTCTGTCTCCTGCCCTCATAGCCACCCCCAAGGGGGGCAAACCAGGATCTGAGGGCCACAGCAGGCCCTCTGGAAGCTCTTATGAATAAAGTTTTATTGTCATGGGGCCAGGCTGCGTGTGTGCTACCACAGCAGAGCTGAGTCATGGCAACAGCTGCCACCTGCTCCTCCCAACCTTAAATATTGCCTACCTGGCTTGACAGGCCTGACAGAAACTTGACACTCAGTGCATGATTGGGGCCAGGCCCGTGGGCTGCCGTCTAAGCATCATTACCTCTTGAGAGGGTGGCAGTCAACTTCTCAGATGCACCTCGCACATTCCGACGCTGGCCCCAACGACACCCTTCTCCCACAACATGTGCTGTTGACTGCAACATCACACAGCGTTTGCCTTCTTCGGTATTTCCTTTAAAATATAAACTCTGTAAGACCCAAACGATGTCCTCAGCCCGTCATGGCCTTTCCCACATGAAAAAGCGGAGACGACCTCCAAAGGCCGATGTAAAACATGTGAGAGTGAGATGGGGGCTGAGTTTGGCCCTTCCCTCACGCCCACGGTGAGCTTGCCAGTCAGTCACACAGACAGACTCTCTGGAAAAGAAAACGTCTGCAAAACAAAGCCTGGAGCTCACCTCACGCAGACTCACCCACGCAGTATCAGGCCGGGTCCTGGTGTCACAACTAGAAGTGCTGTTGGTACTAAAGAAAGCCAGCAAAAGTCCCATAGCCATTTCGCTCCCACCGTACCGATCATTACTGAGCGGTAGAAAATGTAAACTACAGCTGGTGGCCAGTGGTTATGCGCTGGGCTGCTTACTGCAACAGTTCGAAACCACCAACCGCCCTGTGGGGGAAAGAGAAGGTTTTCGACTCCTGGAAAGGTTAGAGTCTCAGAAACCCACAGGAGCAGTGCTGCTTTGTCCTATAGCATCCCTGTGAGTTGGCATCACTCGAAGGCAGCCAGTCTGGTTCGGTTTTAGGAAAACACTTAGAGGTGGAGCCGACGCTCTTTCACTAGCGCCGGTCTACAAATCTCTCACATAGCACGGAGACCAGACCGGGGAGAAGGAGCTACCCCATCCGACCTGCACTGCAGGGGAAGCACTTCAGCGTGACCAGCGGAGGAGCGGGTACACAGCACGCACACCTGGAATGCTGATAGTGCCGCGAGCCCCGACTCACAGCGACTGTGCGTCTAACAGGCGGAAACGCCGCTGGTCCTGTGCCATCCCCCCAGCTGTTGTTCTGGGGGAGCCCGTTGGTGCAGCCATGCGCCAATCCAGCTCGCTGACCAGCTTGTTCTTCCTGCTGCCGCTCTACGTAACCAGGCCTGCCGTCCTTTTCCAAGGACGGGCCTCTCGGGACAATGTGTCCCAAGTACATGAGGCCACGTCTAGCCACCCCGGCTTCTAATGGAATAGGACCCTGCCTGGAAAGAGGCATGAACCCTGACACCGGCTGCGACCTGCAGGAGGGGACAACGGCTCTGTGGGCCCACGTCTGTAACAGGCACGGAGCCAGAAGTGAGCACTCACCAGGGGGGCCGGGGTGGGAGGAGGGCATCCCTGCTTAGAGGGCAGGGGGCTGGGACTGGCGGTGGGGGGGTGGGGAGAAGGACACGGATGCCAGTGAACCTGATCCGGAGACCAGGTGAAAGTCAATAAGATCATGAGAAATGCCATGTGTCAGTGTTAACGATGAAAGAACAGATCAAAATATACCAAGCAAGAAAAACTTGTGTTTTCCAGTCTAGCCTGTTGGGGCACCATGCCCGGTCTCCAATGTCCACCCTCATCATTCCCTGGGG